TAAAAAAAAATTGCGTAAATTGTGAGAATAAATCAAACCGAGAAAAAGATCTCGAAAAGGCATTGTTAACCAGTGTTCAATCTGTTTTTGAAATGATTGCATATAATAATGATTTGCGTAAACGATATGAATCTAAGGAACAATTAATTTAGAAGCAAGAATTTGACCACTCGCTCTAACCTTTTTTTGCTCTTTTTGACTTCTATTATATAAATCCAAAACGTCTTCACTATCTTGCGAGATATTGGGTAATGAAGAGGATATGGTTTCTTTTTTTGCTTCCGATATTCCACCAACCTTTTCTGTTAGATCAGGAATAAGAACGGATTTGGATTTGGATTTGGATTTGGATTTCCTATTTTTTATATGTCCATTTGAAATATTTTTAGACATAGATTCTATTTCAGGAAAATCGGCACTTCGTATCTTAGATGATTGAGGGTATATCATTTGTTGCTTGCGTTCACGATTTTCCATATAATCTAGGACGCGATAGTAACTTATTTGATATTTACTTGCCATTACATTTACGGCATCAGGTACCTTACCCATCGACTCTTTAATTTCTTGGATTGCCTCATCGGATAGATATCTTGCATTTGCACTATAGTATTCTTTATGAATGCGCCCCATAATGAAGTATTTCAGCAAAGCTAGTATAAAATATAGAAAAGTTCCGAAATGTTTCGAAATGTTTTGAAATATTAATACATACAGAAAAGTTTCGAAAAGTTTCGAAATGTTTCGAAATGTTTTGAAATATTAATACATACAGAAAAGTTTCGAAATGTTCTCATATATTTCATCATATTCCAATATATCTTAGCATGAATTGAAAAAACTCTGTTGATAATATTTTCAGCTATTGATATTGATTTATTTTTCAAATATATGAAAAAAACAATATGGTCAAGGTACGTACATTGCAAGATACCAAGAGCATGGAGTCCAAAAAAATACAAGGGCAGGGGTATAGGCTTGGTAGTGCCCGCGAACAAGAACTCGAGGAGGCATTACGTGATAGTATCAAGTCCAATTCCGAAATTACTAGTGAATATAAAAATATGCAAGTGGTATATTCGAATCATAGCAAAAATACCAATAAGGAGAATGATCAATTACGTCGCAATAATGAGAAACTCTCCAAGCATGTATATCAACTTATATATGAGGTTGAGCAACTGCGCTTAAAGATAGATACACTCGAATCCCGTATCATTGATAAAGATCTTTCACTTAGTGATTTCGAGGCTGATATTCGTACAAAATCCAAAGAAATGAAAGATTTCTTATCTAAGATGGAGGCATTGGAGACGAAATTATCTTCAGCTCAGAAGGACTTGTCTATGAAAGAATCTGAGATTGACCCCCTTAAAGCCGAGTTATCTGCCTTGAATTTTATTCTAGTTTCGAAAAATAGTGAATTGGTGCATATGGAGAATGCATTGGCTTCGAAAGATGACGAATTGAAACAAATGAAAGATGATCTGGCCTTGAAAACTTCAGAGATACACTCCTTAGAATC